TTTCCAAGCAAACCCCGAGGACAAACGCAGAGTTTCCCTCCCTCGGGGCACCCAGCAGCCTTCCAAAAACACCACCGGCACGGAGCCCGGGCCCGGGGCGGGCTGCGGGGCCGGGCAGGCTCTGTCAGTGCCGGAGCAGCTGCCGGCAGAGGCTGCAGAAGCCCGGGGCACACCGCGCGCTGCGGAGGAGGGACAGGGGCAGAGCAGACTGGACGAGCGGGCTCTTTCCCGGCTATTCCCGGCACGGCCCGCGCAGGAAGCAGCCGGGGCCCTCCCGCCGCGCTTCCGGCCGCGGCCCCGGCTCGCCCGGCCTGGCTCTGGTTCCAGTTCCAGTTCCAGCCCCAGCCCCAGCCCCAGCCCCTTCTCACCTGCCCCGGGTCCCGCCCGGCCGCCCGGCCCAGCCCCAGCGCGGCCCCAGCACGGCGGGCGAGCGGCAGCGCCGGGCCCCGCATGGCCCGAGCTGCCCGGGGCGGGGCGGGGCGGCAGTCAGGGCTCTTCACAGCGCCACAGGACGGAAAGGGCAGGAACGGACCTTAAAGATCAGCTGGTCCCAGCCCCTCGGTCAGGGGTGGGGACACAACCCCTGGTGGATGCTCAAGTCCCCATCGAGGCTGGCTTTGAACTGTGCCGCGGTTGAGGCATCCCACCACTTCCTTGGGCACCTCGTTCCCGTGTCAGTTAAAAAAAGAAACAAAAAACCCAGTTAAAAAAAACAACCAAAATAACCCCCAAAACAAACAAAAAACGACAAAAAAAAAAAAAAAAAAAGAAAAAAAAAAAAAAAAAAAAAAAAAAAACCAAAAAAAACCCCAACACAAAACCACTCCAACTTCCTAATTTTTTCGCTGCCTTTTTTTTTTTTTTTTTTAAGCCATGGAAGCCTGACTTGCCGTCCTGACTCCTCTGCCCAAACCAGGATTACACAGCACGTGGGCTCTCACTTTAACAATTTACAACAGTGATGCTCATCCCAGCACCTGCTGGAGGGTCTGATAGCATCCACACCCCACCCAAACATCAGGTCTCTGCTTGTACCTTTTTTCCTATATGGCCCAGGCTTTGGAAGTGCTACTGAGCTCATCTGACCCACACCGGGGATCAGTTCCAGACTAAAACGCTGCTGGTGCCATGAAAAACTGCTGGAAGCTTGAGAATTAATTATTTACAGACCTCTCTCATACACACTTTCAGATCAAACATTCTCCGGGGACAGGAATCAGGAGGACCACTGTACCCCAGTTCAGCTGTCCCTGGTTTAGCAGCACTAAAATCGGTGACTGCTCTCATCTGATCCCTTTATCAAGACCTGCAAACTGCTCCTCCAAGGAAGGGCATCCTGCAAGCACTGTGTCCTAGCAAAACAAAACAAATCCCCACAGACCCTTTTGTGCCCATTTGCCAACTCTCTTGCTAACATCAAGCCTTTGTGGAAGCAGCAAACTTGTTGAAGAGTGGTTTTTAATTAAAGCTTCTGCAGGCTGAACCCAGCCTCTGAAATCGAGACTGGAAAGGGGTGCAAAGGTAAAGGCAGGAGTGCTGTTGTATGGATAAATATTTGAGTTTCATCTACCAGCTAATGAAGACTAAGTGCTTTTACTCACCTCATGCAGATTAGCTTGAAATCTGATTTAAAGTGCTTCTATCAGGGTTGTGACAAAGGGCCCGGAGGCAAAACGGAGACTTCTTACATATCAAATGTAAAGGAAACCTGAAAGGCTTTTTGATAAGTGAGTTTTACCAACAGACACAGAACAAAACTAGTAGAAAAAGTAGTTCTGTGTGGTTGTAATTCTGCTAAGGACAGTACCATACCAGAAAATGTACACAAGAATTGAGTTTTACTGTACCAGTACAACAAAAAGGTCTGCTGAATGAGTCACCTTCCCCTAAATCTATGGCTATATTCCACTGTGCCCTATGTGTCTGAAACCAGATTTGCACCAAAGCAAAGAAAGGACTCCAGTTCATCAGCATCACCACCATCACAGCCAAACTGCAACCAGCAATAATGCATCTTGTGTCTCTCTCATGTGCTACTGCAGACAAACTTACCTCAAATTATGCTTACAACAGGCTCCATTATTTATTCCATTTACAACTGTAATACTGGTGGGTATGTTTTATTCAAAATAGTAAAGTATTTCAAATGGAATGAACCCAGGAGCCAAGAAGCTAACATGATGGCAAAGTTATTGGGTAGCATCCTGAAGTTACAGTACTAAACTTCCCACTAAAATACTGGAATATATTACTGAAAAAAAAAAGACTGCTTAATCTTATTTAAAGGGGAAGAAAAAGAATCAATGTTGTTTACCTTGTTAATCCTTTCCAATCTCATACCAGAGACCTAATGGATACCAAATGTCTGTTTTTAATAATTTTGATGTAAAAAACCTTGAAATCTATGAGCAAGGTCTCTTCTGTGGATTCTAATATGTAACTAAAAAAGAAGACAACTGAACAACTTATTTTGAAGCACTGAGTCTCTCCCATTAATTCAGTTCATGAACATTACTATTCCTTCTTAGAAGACACTCTTAACTTAGCTTTAAAATATTTTGTGTAAATTGTATTCAAGACGTTACGCATAGATAATGCAAAATGTTCTGCTTAAATAGTGAATTTCTGTGTTCTTACCACTCCTGTATTTAAATATAAATACTCTTAGCTGCATGCACTGATACATTTCAAAAGTGATTATGTGGATGACAAAAAATCTGGCAAAATCTAATCTGTGCTCTAAATTTACAGCTGCACAACTTTTATCTCTCAAATATTAAGTGCACTATCAAAGCTCTTTATAGGTATTCATATACACTCAATGCCAATCTTATCAGTATATTCTAAATTTGATCACATTTCTCCTGCAAAAGTATGCAAAGATTCTGTCTATGAAAACTCCATTCATTTTAGAAATGTGAGACTTGCAGTCCTTAAATATTTATAGACTAGACTTACTTCCAAAAAATTGTAAATACAGGAAACATGTGGATGCTTTGCAATAGCTTTATTCTATACATAAATGTCATCTTCAGCAAATAAAAAGTCATAGCAGTATAAATTACTGAAAAAAAAACCCAGCATAGTAAATAAGTACAAAGCATATTAATAAAACAAAAACTTATAAAACATTGTTGAGTACTTTGGTCACATACTGGTAAAATTTATTTTAAAAGCAAAAATCAAAAATTATACATATGTCCACACACACAACACACAGAACACACAGTTCATATATATAAGCATCAACATTTCGTTTTTCAAATTTGTTACCACAGCAGTATTTAGCTTTATTTTTAATAAAGACTTCCATGACTTATTTTAGGAAAGAGGGAAAACAAAAGTGTAGTACATTCCTAGAAATTGAAGCTGTAAAAAAGTAAGTCTGCAAAAGTAGAGCCTTTAAGCCAAAAACTTAAGTGGTAACAGAGCTAGTGTTAGTGAAGTTGAGATTGCACATATACATTTTTGTACAACCTCCCCTTCACTTAGTATTGTGTTGTCTGAAGGGAAAATGACCAAATCCTGAGAAAAATTCAACTGAATCAGTATTAGAATACAAGAGAAGTATTCTCATGCTGGTATTCACATAGAAATTGTTTCCTTCTTTCTCTAAACCAGCAAACACAGAGGAATAAACCTCTCCACCTATTCCAAACTTCGTATCCTTAAAACTGATTCCACCTCACTTTTAATTATTTCATTTTAATATGGCAGATGTTTGTGCAACTCCTTGCTGCAAGGGGTGCATGGCAAGGATTTCCAATATCAAAGTGCTGAACATGTAACACACCACATTGTTTCAACATCTCAACTCCTTTGGTAAAACCACATTATTGATGACAGACCATAATATAAAATTACCAAATACTGTTTCTCCAAAAAATCCCCTGAATGGGAGCTTCATCCTGTCATTAAGTGGCAGAACAATGAACATTTACAAATACACCACTGGTTGTCTCCAATGTAACAGTAAAAACATTTAAACAGGAATATAACAAATAGTAACCCTTCTTGTTTAGGTATCACATGTCAGTGATTTTAACACATTATATGGAAATGTTAAAGAAATACTTAAAAACCCAGGGTTTCTTCAGTTTGCAAGATATTTTAGTATTATTGAGATTAAAAACTGAGGGAGGTCATCTGCATACTGGTTGGTTCAGTTTCCCATCAAACCTGATTATTTAATTAGTGCAAATTTCCCACTCTGTGAATTTTCTCGTTTGTTGTAGTAGACAATACAGTATTCAACTCTATTTTTTCCCCACAATATTTATTACCTATGTCAAACTCAGATAACAAAACAAAGAAAACAACTGATAAGAAAACTTCCAGACAGTTCAGATACCATTATTTTGTATAAAATGTATTTATTTTAGATTTTTTTATCGTACCCTCTGCTTCAGATTGCCAGTAATATGAAATACGTAAAGTACTACCTAAGAAAAGGTATTGGTACTGTAAGAGAAATATAAGAGTCAAACACACTTTATTTTTTTGCACTTGACTATTAGCTTTCTAATGCTCCCTACATATCATTTCATTGGTAGTAGGTATACAGCTCCACTCAACCTTTCAACTAATTTTATAAAAAGGTAGAAAAATATATTCAATATTTGTTTAACCTTTCTATTATTCACCCTATCATACAGGAATCTTACAAAATGCTTTAGAATAATTTATTCCCTGAAAAAATCCCAAAATACCAACACCTGCACAGCACCTGGAGAAAGGTCTCATTGGGAATGTACAATCCAGTATTATGGGATCTTGAAGGTGTTTTTCTTCAGGTTTACAGCCATGTCTTTTCACAAGTAAACCAAATAAATCCTGAAGAAGAGCTGGTGATGTGAAAAGTAAATTATAAAGTCTGACCATTAAGCACAACAGGATGAACTCCATGTTTAGTTGCCACATGTTGATAAAATATCATGTAAAAAAATTTCCTTCAAGGGTAAAAAAAAAAAAAAGATAGGATTCTTAATTTATGTTTTTTAAAATTCTCTTTGTGCTCCAGTTAAGCAATGACATCATGGGTATCACTGTTGGGTCTTTGGCGTAGAGTCAGCGGGGGCAGAGGCTTTCCATAGAAATCTGTGGAAGAAATTCCAGAGCAGAAAAACACATCAATCTGTCACCTACCACCTTCCTGGCTCAAAGAATGTTTACTAAATTCTTACTTCCATAATGAAAGCAGGGATTCTATGAATTTAGAGCTAATTCCTCCAAGCAAACTTTCAAACCTAGTGCTAATTAATGTCTCGAGATGGATTGGCCAAACGAGGGTTTAATTACATTTTGTTATACATGCATCAGCATTTGCAAGATCAAGCCCAGAGGGGATCTGTAAACATCCCTAAAAATAGGAAAGGAGAAATTCAAAGTGTACAATAGCAACTGAAAAAATGAAACACTGAAATTTGTATGTTGTTGTATTCAAGACTGCACTGCAATATAGTTTTAAATTATAGTAATACAGAGCAGAATCCAAAATTTTGGGACCATCTATGCGTGGCATTTATCTTCCAAGCTAAAATAACTTTCTAAAAGAACTATTTCAGAATTTTTAGATAAAACTGCAGCATTTCCTTCCATCAATAAAGGAATTTAAAATGGCAAAATTGTACAAGACAAAGTTAATAAGTACATCAGAAGAGAGTAACAAGTGTTCTCAAACATTTGTAATGGATGTGAAGTAAAAAAACCATGCAGACTGGAACATGCAAAGCACTTCACAAACAAAAAAATATGGAATATGGTAAGAGGAAGGAGGTAGAAATCAAGAAAAAAGAAAAGCAGCTTTTTGAAGCATTCAAATCTCCATTCTGTTTATACAGACCACCTCTTCCCCAAGAAAGCTTTGATGGCCTGCCAACACAAAATTCAGCTTTAATAAATCATCATTTTTCAAGAATATATCCCACTTGTTCTACAGATGCAATAATTTCTGTTAAAATTGCATTCCTGAGCTAAGATTAACAAAGACAAACAAACTGGACTACCCTACTTGAAGAACATGTGGACCTGTCTGTAGGATTGAGGTTTTAATTACGTTTACATTTAGTTAGCAAAATGAGAACACTTTTATGTTATTGTCATAAATATTTTGATTTCAATAGCACTAATTACAGCAGCAAGAAAACTGCAACACATGATTCAAATGTCAATGAAAATCTGTCCATTGGATGGTTTTATTCATCCATTTTTTTGAGGTCTGGCAGAGCACTTTAGGACTGGCAGAGAATTTTGCTTCCTATAATGAAAGAAGTTTAACATTTTTGTAAATGAATCCTCCTTGCTGACAATAAACAGGCACTCATCACCTCATGTTGTGCCAAAATTATTAGCATGACTGGAAAAATTGCAGTCTTCAGTGAATATAAGTGTGTAATTACAAAGTCTGAATGTCTGAAAAAACTTTTAAACCCACCTTTGAATTTGGACAAAGGTGAGGGAATGAAAAAAAAAAAAACTACATTGATTTATTTCTCTGCTGAAGGGACAATCAAAAATAAGCTGATTTTCAGAAAGATGCAATTATTGTAAAAAAAGAACCCAAGGCAGGCTCCTCTGGTCTTAGGGAAACTCTGAGTTTCCAGTGAGGAGCAGGTTCTGAGTGTGCAAAGTATGTAAGAATTCATTGAAAAACACTGCTGTGTGAGAGAAAATAGCCAAGGCCAGGTGGGAAATTAAATCAGTGTATCTTAAGGGTCCTTCCCAATCCCAGTAATTCTCTGATTCTGTGGATCTCAAATTGACAGAGTTAAAACCCCACAGCTGCTTTAAGCAAAAGAAAGAAATAAATGATATTTTTGGAGATCAGGACCTAACTAAATGTTTGGCAGTGCTGAGCTATGAATGTCAAGAACTTTCTTCATTTATAAATAGTGCTTTCCTAATAGCTCTTTTCTTGCTAGGATTTGCAAGCGTGAATCTTGTGAGTGGTTCAAAATTCCTGGAAAAAAAGAATAGATCTCCCAAAGAACAGACAATGCCTTAAATTCAGTGATAAATTTTGAGTACTTCAAGTTTGCTCTTACACCTCTGGTCAAGAGATAATTTCCCTACCAACATATTTGACATTTTCAGCTTCCAAAATAATTTAATAATTATACTTATTTTACTATTTAACACCTAGCTTAAGCAGGTTTTTCCCTCTTTGTCCCACCCATGCTCTTCCTACAGAATGCAACACCTTGATAAGACACAGATAAAAATTGAGTTCCTTTTCTTCCCCTCCCTACCTCTTCATCTGGCTTTCCTTTCTTGTCACCTTCTCTCTATTTGCCTTTAAAAAAAAGAGCAAGATGTGTTTAGGATCAACATTACAAATCACATTTTAAGCACATGAATTTCCTTCCTATGAGAAATAAGTATTTTGGGTTTAGAAATCTTATTTTCCCTTCAGATATATTTTGGTTCTCTGGCAGAAAAGCTCCTTGTTCTTGTGTTCCAGATGTCTCCAAATTCACTTTTCAAAATTTGAAAAATAAAAATGTAAGAAAAATGAAGAAGCTATCATCTCAAATTCAGGAAAAAAATGTAATATCAACATATGAAAAAGTCTTCCACAATCTTCCAAAAACAGAAAATAGTCATTATTGAAGCATGAAATCAAGACTGCCTACTGCATCTTGATATTTCCAGTTAAAATTTTTCATTTTAAATGCAGTATATATTTGGACTCAAGTAACTGGCCCCATTACTATTTGCAATATGTCTAATTTTTAGGTGCAAATAACTTCAGATTATTAACAACTTTTGATATCCCATGCCACTTTAAACTTAATGAGAAAATTGGAGAGAACTCATTGTTTTTCCTAATAAAAAAAATCAGACTTGAAAAAAATCAAAAAGATGCTTTCTACTAAGCAAAAGGGAGAGCTTTTGGTCAATGAAAACTGGAATTGAGAAATGAAAAACAGACAAAGAATGAAGTGAATGTAGAAGTGAATGGACAATGGAGAATGGTTTAAAAAGGTACAAAGCTCCAAATACTTTCAATTACCAGGATGATGTGTTTCACCAAGAGGCTCAAGTTTTCCAAGTCTATTAAGCTTGGGAGTTCCCCATCCAACTACAGGAAAACAAAAACTGTCAGAGCATTCCATGACTGCACTGGATTATTCTGAGCTGTACAGACCCCACATCTCCTTGGGAGAAATCAAAGCATTCAGAAATGCCCAAGCTATGCACTACATTGCATCCATGGTGAAGAACAATGAAACACTTCAAAAACAAACTGATTAACCTTAAAAGATGTTGATATTTTTAATCATTTCAGTGAGTAATCAAGTTTCTGGCTCTTTTTTTTTGGGAAAATGATGTTTTCCCCGGAAGAGGCCAAATTAATACTGCTGGAAGTTCCTATCACGAAGTGGGAAGCTGCATTAAAGATTTTCTAGAGAGGAAGGTTTAGTAGCTCCTCTCTGTATGAAAACCAGCCCAGTTTCATCATTCACAAGTGAAACATTTAAAGGATTATCAACCAGAAACTGAGACATCAATAACTGTTTTTACACTTACCTGGTGGAAGGGCTGCTGGTGGTGTAGGATTCTTGGGAAGAGAGTCCTCTGTATTAACAGGTTCTACTCTGTGGCCCCTTTTTAATTTGGGTTTTTTACTTTTTTTCTTATTGTTATCTACATCCAACAGGAAAAAAAACCCATTACATATCCTACAGTCATATTCAGGTACTATCCTACATCAGATTCTAATACAATTGTTGGGGACATAAATCAGAGCCTTCAGTCCAGACTTAAGACATAAAATTATGGGAAATGTAAATCACACAACATTTTGCTATAGAAAATAAACTGTGCACATAAAATCATGGGAAATATAGGTCACACAACATTTTACTATAGAAAATAAGCTGTGGGCATAAAATATATGAAAACTCTATGTTTCCATGAAGAAATTCAACTTATATAACCTGTTCCTGAATTTTTGTGTTTCCAATAGGTGACATTGATATGTGGTATCATGACAAATAACATGGACAGAAGAAGAAGCATATGAAAAATCACATTAAATAGTTTAAAAGGCAGAAGTTTTACCTGAGTCAAGGCATTCTGAGGCTTGTTGGTCACTCTCTTCTGCATGCTGCAAAAGCTGGGCAGTTGTAGAGTTGCACCTTTCCTGCCTGCTGTCATTTGTGGTTTGGCTACTGCTACTTGATAAGTGGTCCTGCTCTGCTTGGGATTTCAAGGCAATTGTAGCCTTTTCAGTCTCCAACTTTTGTCTCTTCTTTTCCTTTTCCAGCTGTTTTTCATTCTAACAAAAAGGAGGAGAATATTTTAAAATGACTTCTAACGCTGTAAATTGACTAGTAGGACAGAAAGATTATTAAAAATGAAAATATTCTCCAAATATCTTACACTTAGCATAGAATTTATTTTCAAATAGATGAAGAAATTCAATTTACAATATCCTATCCAGAGAAAGGGAGAGGAAATTATAAAACAAAAGGATCTTTAGATTTATTGCCTGTTTTCTTGTTTTATTTTTGGTCCTATTAAAAAAACCAAAACAACCTTCTACTTTCTTTCTCCTCAATTACTTTTTTTTTAATGTGTGAATTTAAAAAAAATACAGATGCACAGAGCCTAAGTTTCCTGAAAATGCTATCCCAGTTTGGATAAATACCTAGTGGCATACAACCTTACAGATGCACAGAGCCTAAGTTTCCTGAAAATGCTATCCCAGTTTGGATAAATACCTATTGTGGCATACAACCTCAACAACAGGCTGCTTCACAATTCTCTGTCACTAAATCACCATCTCTGCAATATTCACAGCTGCACCTTTATTTTCTTGCTTTTGATGTTATTGCTAAATGGATTATTGTGCATGTAGCTGCCTTGACATGTTCTGTGGATATGGGTGCTTTTGTCTTGGAAAAAAGCAGATGTTTGAATTACTTGCTGGAAAAGTTTACGTGTTTCTTTAGATTGTGTTATCTCCAGGCAACTGAATAAAAAAAATATGAACTCAGAAATGTAGGTTAAGGAAACTTTATAATGAATGTGATTTTCATATTTCAAAATTAATAAAAAATTCTCAAGAGTCTATTTTCAATTGAAAAGAGGTTATGCTCACAAATCTGAATAGCTGAAGAGGACAGGAAGATTTGATATGACTCACCACATCACTAAAACACCTTAGAATAAATTAATAGACCTTGAATATTTTCCACTTCTGAATCCCAGGAGTTTAATTAGGAAATGTTTTCAGTAATGTGTTTACATTTATTTTACTGTGTCTACAAAACTTTTGTTCCCCAATCAATAATATGGGTTTTCTTACCACAAAAACATTGATTCAATGCACAGAAAACAAGGCTGCCAAGATTAAAGTAAGAATTTAAAAAGTCCTGTGCAGACAGAATAAGAACTCTTTCAAATGACCATTTTTCTCATTGCCACTCAGACATTTGTTAAGGTATTTCCTAACAGACCTAGATGTTCTCCTACCTCAGAGATTACAGTAGCTATAGGCTGGAAGGGGTTTCCACATTTTCCAGGCTCAGGGTCTTCCTCCTCAGGTGCATTTCCTTCTTCTTTTTCCCTTTGGCATTGTTGTTGGGTTTGTGTTGTTTCAGTGGTTTTGGTGTTTGGTTTTGGGAGTGTTTTTTGGGGGCAAGGGAAGGGGAAAGAGGGAGAATGAATAAAGATTTATGAAGAAGCCATCAATTTTATAGAGAACAATGCCAGCCCTCCCCACTCCACCTCTCAGTGTGGCATAAACCCAACACAATCCAATATGGTCAGGAGGTTTTGTGTGTGCAGAGACTTGTAGCAGATTAGGAGCAAACCAATTTTTTAGAAATTTGTGAAATATATATGAAGACCATGTCAAGTTGCAGCTGTTTTAAAACGTACTCAAGTAATTTACTTGCTTATTTAAACCAAAACAGCCAGAACAGAGTCCAAGATACTTCCCAGCTACTTCTCACAGTAACTGAGACTCAAAATTCTCTGCCGGCAGAGGAGAGGACAGGGTGCTCAGCAAATATTTTAGGAATGCCCCAGTAACGATTCACATCAGCTCTTCACAGGCACCACAGCAGGGTGCTAAAGACCAGAAAGGGATTTGAAGAGGAGTGATAAATCAGTTACCCTGCCTTCCCTCACTGCATCATCTTTAGTTCCTTCATGCCTCACCTGTTGGATATCCTGAAGTTTATTAAGCATAGTATTGAATACATTTTCATATTTAGTCTTTGATATTTACGTATGGGTTAGAGTCTAACTTAATATTTTATTTTAGAAGGTAACTTCAGATTAAATGACAGGAATTATTTTCAGATCAGCCTTCTGTGAAGTTATATTAGTAAGGCCAAATTTATCCCACAACTATCTTACGATTCTCATTCAAAGTGCATTTCCAGCATGCAGCAAACCAAATAAAGGGGATGAAGAGGCAAAAACTTCAAGACTCTTGGCTTGTAAGCTTTAAATCCTGGATAGCCTGATTCCCATAAGATCTAGGCACAGGAATGACCCAAACATCTCAGAGAGGGGAGGAAGGGATGGAGTAGGGATCACAAGAAAATACCTCTGCTCCCGTATCCTCCTGACTCGCTCAGCCCGTTCCAGTTTCTTCTGCTCCTCAAGTGCTTTTTGCTCTGTTGTGTCTCTCTGGATGCGCTCACTTAAGGCATCAAAATCTTTTGCTATGATATGGAGAAGCCAAAATAATCCCTTTTTGATTGATTTGTCAATTTTTTTCCCACAGCCCATGATCGCTGAGCAAGGCTCCTGTAAATATATGGAAAAGGAGGGAAAAATTTGCAGTTCAGACCACATTCCTTGACTGGAAACAAGAAATTAGCTGAACAATTACTGTTGACTGTGAAGCTTGTAAAACACTGAGAATTATGGGTTATAAATAGTCCATGCTAGATTTATCAATCAAAATGGAAAAATCTGAGATGAAAGAGAATCAGCTTTGCTTCACTTCATTAAAGCAAGTTCAACATGTTCATAAGCACCTCCAATTACTGTTGACTGTGAAGCTTGTAAAACACTGAGAATTATGGGTTATAAATAGTCCATGCTAGATTTATCAATCAAAATGGAAAAATCTGAGATGAAAGAGAATCAGCTTTACTTCATTAAAGAAAGTTCAACATGTTCATAAGCACCTTGGGGGTAAATAAAATCTCCTGTGAATTAGTCAGAAAAGCTGTCAAACCAATTTTTACATCAGAACAGGCACTGCACCTCGATTGGAGTTTTACTTTTTGTCATTATACTCTCAGCAGCAAGTGAGAGAAACATGATCCAGGCAAATCTGTTGAAAGAGAAATGCAAACCTCATTGAGAAAATAGTTCTGAAAATACATCTGGTAAAAAACACTGAAGGACCAAGAGTGCCTCTCTTGAGATTAAAGCACTTCAAGGAGATAGGATGAAAGCCTTCAAAAACATGAGGTAAAACTGCAAATAGGAAAATAATTTCTTTTTAATTTTTCATGTCAGGAGGACAAGTAAGATGGGCTTTAATTGGGAAAAACAAGGCAGAGCTTGATTCAAGCTTCAAACATGGGAAAGATGTTCTCTCAAGTTCTCCTGGGAACTGTTTTCAGAATGTTTTGGAGCACTGTATGTGTCTTTTAAAACATTCTCAGAATAACAACTGAATAGAACAGCTCTGTGTATGACATTTCACACTCATCATGTTCAGGATTTGTGTTTATGAAGATTTAAAGAGACTCTCCAATACCAACATCTGAAAAACTCTCAGTGCTCTCTCCATCTGACAAGAATTTAAATGGCACCACAATCAGATATGGAATGTACAATTTACAACAGAAAAAAAATCAGTTATGTTTAAATTAAAGTTCAAATATGAGTCCTTTTCAATATGGAACCCTGCAATACTCTCCAACAGAACCTACTCAGGAAGGAGATGTATAGAGGATGTATGCAACTTGTTTCTCTGAGAAAACTGCTATCAAACACTGGCCAGCACTGGGGAAATGCTCTTCTCAACTTGCACCAATATTATTGTTGCTGAAGTTTGGTTACAAAATATAAAGATTTATAAATATGGAATCTATAGACATTAAATAAGAAAAAGAGGAAAGTCATTCTCACTGACAGCGTCGAAGAGGAAGACAAATTACTCCTTCCATTTGCTTTCATATTTTGTGGGGAAACTTAAAGATCCAGTGGAAAACTAAATACAAGAATAAGAAGAAACAAAAGGTTTTTTGGTCCTTGACTAACTTTCTATCCTGTTTCACAATGCCTCTGTTTAAACTGACCCCAGGAGTCATCCTACTGAAGGCATTTGGGACCATGTTTATCTTTGAAGAGCCTGGTAGAGAAGGTGTCCATTAGAGTATGAAACAGTCTTAGGAGTGTGTGATCTGCTGTCTTTCCTAATTACACACAAAATATAAATAAAGAACAAGAAAGCATGTCAAAAATGAAGCAATTCAAATGTAATGGAATCTAGTATCTTTCAGGTTGTTTTTACTGAATATTTTTCAAGTAAATATTTTTGGTACAGAAGCTCCCTGGAAAAAAAAAACCAGAACAAACCAAGGATGAACTTGCAGTTTTTATTTTTATGATTGCTATATGTGCATAGTGCAAAGAGCACTAACTGAAGGAAAGCACTCAAATGATCATGACATAATAAACAGAGCTATGCCCTGCTCTTACTCAGTTATTAGAGAAAATAATAGCAATATGTAGTGCTCTATAGATTTTGCAACTTTCTCTAATGAATTAAATTTATTTTTAAATTTTAAAATCCAAAGCTCAAATGGTTTTGCAAAACTGCCTTTTTATCTTGGTTAGTAACAAGATAACCCTCATTATCTTTCAAAATGTTTTTTAGTGCCATCAGAAAGAGATTGAGGAAGTAAAGCCCTATCTAAGACACTGGGAGATTAAAACAAAGGCCTAAAGAAAAACTTCAGGGACTACTAATTTGGATATATTATCTGAAATATTGGCTAATATTAAGCAGATTTCTTAAAGATTTCTGGTTTTGGCTCTCCCCACAATGACTTCCTGCTAGGTTTTTTCTTAACAGGACAATGAGTATTACATCTAAATTTCAGTTCTATGCCACATAGCCTAATTTCCTACCTTAATGGAAGCTTTACACACATATGAGAAAATACAGCATATTAACATCTACTTACAATTTGACAGAGACACTTGTGTTCATTAACCAGCCTTTCCAGAGATAAGGACTCGATTACATCTGCCTCTGACAGAGCTCCTTCTCTGTCCTGCTTATTTGCCAGCCTAGAGAGAAGATCAAAAGAAACATTCAGCATCCTGCCAAAAGAGAGGCTCTCACATCTCCAAAAACTGAGTTCGTGACAAAGCTAGGAGGAAGAAGGGGAAGACTGAGAAAGAAAAGTTGAAATTCCTTGTTTCAGCTTTAATTATTTCTTCTACTCAATAAGCATGTTAGTCTATACACCATTTTCATCAGATACTTATGCTAGATAATCACCAAGGTGCTTAGCAACACATTAATATTATTTCTAGAGAAAGCAGTAATATTTACAGTTAAGAAAATGGACATAAAAGACCATCCTGCTTTACATCTACATCAACACAGGACAATCTGTTGGAGCCTCTGGATGAAAGTTCACAGTTTTGCAACTTCCCAAACCATAAGCATTTCCCTCTTTAAAAGTGCTTCAGGATCATCTCAGCTCTGCCTGCTACCCAGCAGGTAGATGATGCCTAACAATGTTTTGAACTTGCTCTTCCTGAGTAAAACTTAAAAGTATAGAGGGAGGAACTTGCATGAATGGCTCTAAAAACCGTATTTTATTAAATAGAGGAAAGCAAAAGACTCCCACATGACTCACAAAATAAGTATTCTGTAAGATGAAGATCATTGTCGTGTCACATATATATGGTAGAAAACAGGACTCTAGAAGACAGACATTCATTTAGGAGTATAAAATTACAATCCAACCTTATTTTGCACTTTCTACAACATTAATAATCCAAGCTAGAGTGCTGGATTAGAAAATATGAAATTTGTACTTGCTTCTCTCTAATAAAGGAATTCCACTAAAATAATGTTCCTCTGAAATTTAGCAGCATTTCAATGAAATGAGAACTCTGATTCAATTTTCTGGATAAGAAAACAAATATTTGGCTTCCATGAGCTCAGGAACAGAAGGTTTTGGAACCAGACATCATAGCCTTTCCCCTGAAATCCCAAGTCATTATCATGAACTCAGATGCTTTTAGGGAACTTAGGCCAAAGCTTGTACTTTGAATTTATGTTAATTCCTTGCTGGGAAGGAACAGTGGTAAGAATTCACTCCATAGTTACCAGAACTTGTCAGCACTTTAATTTGATCAAAGACCTTATTTGTCCCTATTCTCCAGAATCCCAGTATGAGAGCTTCAATTCTTAATTCTCTTACTCCCAAGAGATTTTTCAGCATCAAAAACGTTAGAAAAAAAGCTGTGTTGCATCTACAGCCCAAGACCCCATATTTCTTGTCACCATTACCCTCATGAGCTTGGATTCATTATCTAATCTTTCATCTTCCTTCTCAAGAATTTGTTTATGAAGGAGACCATAGAAAAGCAGCTTCTCAAATGTCCAGTCCCTCTCAATCTTCACCATTCTTAACTATTTGTGGTCCAAACCATTCAAAGATTTATCATCATCCTGGGGATTAAAATCCCTATGACCTACTGATAATCAGAACTTTGCTGGCTTGGCCTGCAGAGCTGGTAAGAGCATAAAACTCTTCCCTGCACTTCCTTGATAATAAATTCCCAATTCTTAAAGAGAGACCTTCCACAGTGCTTTGTATGATTTAGTGCAGGGATTACCAAACTGCTGCTCAATATATATACAGAACCTGTGATATTTTCAATATGTTTATAATCCTCTGGCACTGCTTCTTTTCACCAACCAGCTAAAACAAGACTTGTCCTCTCAGTATTTAGCTATGAAACCAAAGCTAAACCAGGGAAAAACTGAGATGCAATGCAAGAAAGTAATTAAAAGACTGGAAAAAAATTACCTCCACTTTTTTTATCCCCCACATAACCTATTTTGTTACAGTTTGAAAATCCTACTGTGCTGCCTCTTAGTGTCAAAAAGCATTCCTCAGCAGTGCTGTCAATTCATCTAGAGCTAATTGAAGGAAATATTTCTGAGCAGTGTTTGTTGCCACAGCCTATTCCTCTCTCACCTGAAGATTAAATAACTGCACTATTTGCACTATTTTTGCTCTGCACAGCCTACAAAGCACAACTGAAGCAGAATGAAATGCTGGTAAGCTGCATAGCTCAGTGGCAGCTCGACACCAACATCCCACAGCTCGCAGTAGCTGCTGATTTTTAACCTCCAACACCTCAAAAGGTGTCATATTTGCCTTTCTGGTCGATTAGCTTCCACTTTCTCTGCAGCAACACTGACAAAAACATGGCTGAGGTGCTGTACCTGAAAAAGCAGCTGTCTCTGCCTATTCTCCCCAGGAACTGAAGTGGTTTTGCTGAGGTCCATCTACTGCTGGACCCTTCCCATTTCAGACTTTAGGTCAAACTTCTAAACAGACTTCAAGTATTTTCAGGATACTGTAGTAAAACGCATTATTCTGCAGGGGCTTTTCTTTTCCCCCATGAACAGATCCACCTACCCTCAAGAATTCCTTTTCCCTCGGTGCACAAGAAAGCAAAGCCTGCACTTACACTTGTGCTTCCAAGTTGGGCAGTGCTACACTCGCAGCTCCTAAGGGGAGCTGCTCCAAGGCACTTCCTGCTGCTGGGCACTCCGAGGGATCCGCCTCCCAGCAGGGCTGGCTTGCAAACAGGCACAACCAGATTCCCCAGGCACAAAGTAATCAATTTGCCTCTCTCCTGCAGTTGCAGAAGGCAGTTTCTCTCTCACTGTGCCACTCCTGAGGATGATCACACTTGGAGGACGACAGAAGAATTAGAAGCAGGAGGAATGAAGGAAATGCTTCATGGAATGTTATTCAAGACACGTTGCCTAGGGAATATTCTGGAAAAATGTTTTTTGGGATTATACTGAAGCTTAACCTCAGGAGTTCCTGTGTAAAGGGTAAAAGCCACCACAACAAGACTCAGAGGTAAATACTCTTCTTACTTCATGTTTCTAAATTTGCAAATATCAGAAAAAGGCTTTATAGTGGGGTTTAGAATGGAAATGTGCTTAAGTGTCAAGATAAAAAAATAATGTATGTCTGTCTTGCCAAGAGTTAGGTATTTTGTGGGTGAATGTGGACTTACAGCTCTGCTGCTCTTGCACAGGAACACCAGGGTTTGAGGCAAGTTTTATGCAAAAAACCCCCTTCTTTAGGCAATACATCAGTTATCTTAAAAGACAGACCTTGATTTTAATTTTCCAAGTTAGCTGAACTTCATATATAGCAATTTTTCATGTTTAAAAACCTGTAGGAGGTATATATCAAAACATACTTGAAAGCACAGCAGAGTGGCTGTTAGTTTATCATATTGAGTTTGCTGAGTAAGAAGCTTTCATCTATAAAATCATGCTTGGCTTATTTCAGTTTCACATAAAGAATATTTGAATTGTCTTAGTGTAACAAACGTACCTCATGCAAGAAATAAAGAGAAAGTTGGCATCTACTGCTTTTAGATCAAGTAGGATTTTTCTAAGCAACTGGAGAGCTTTTCAACTTTAAGAGTCACGGGAAACAATGTGGAAAGGGAGTGTTGTGTGTGCATTGGCACAACTGACATCTACAGCTCAGTGACAATATTTCTCTTAGAAGCCACTTCTGCCAGAGAAAAACAAAGTCTGAATGCTATGGAAGTTCCTTGACCTGTCTATAAAATCTCAATTACTGAGCAAAGAGGGAAAAAAAAACCCACAGAAACCAAACCAATATTAAAAGTTTACTTTGCAATACAAGATCTGTAAAAGTGTCTCAGATATGCTACTTTGGGGGTTACATTTATTTAGCATCAGTGATCACAACCCCAAAATTCTGGGTCAGATCTGCATAATGTCCATGAGAATTAATGAAGAGCAAAGCATCCCTGAGGTCAAAATACTGCAGCATCAGAACAATCTCCATAATTGAAAACAACTATAGGAAAATGAATCTTTATGAGAATGGTTTACCTATGATAGTCATTAAGGCTACTTCAAGAAGCCATAGCTTTGAGGGATGGAATTAGCTGGGAAAACAACCACAGGACCTTTGAAATTAACAGCAGTCTAAACAAGGGGAAAGAACAATGCCATATTCTTCACTCTACAGTGAATCTTCTATTTAAAGTGCTGCTCTACCCTTTTTCCCTTTGGAATTTTCATCTCTCACCCATTAACCTTTTTCTTGGGCAATCCTGTGGACAGCCATCACAAGGATGTTTTATTCCAAAGAAATGAGGCCTCAGCAGATGCAGCATGAAAAACCTTTTTCTCTTTATGCTTTGCTTATCTTAACATCCACAAAAGTCAAACTCCTGACCTACACACAGGCAAAAAGAAGTGACTTGTCTGCTTGTTTCGCTTGTTCCTTCTTCAGTTATTGGCAGTTCACGAGGTTTTTGAGGAAGTCATGGAAAATCTAACTCTTCATACTTTTAACAAACAAACAGAAGAACAGACCAAGAGTTTCAAGTGGCCCATGGAAGGCACTCTTGATGAAGTCTGAGCCTGCTCTGTCAGATGATTTTTTGCAGACTGCCTTCCAAATGGAAGTGTTAACAGATCTTCAGGCACATTCTTCTTTAGCATTTCAAGCCCCTGCCTCTTCTGGGTTGCTGACAACAGTGACAAACCTATCAGTAAATTTTGATGGTTAACGTATGGCTCTTTCTGAAATAATGGGATTTAATTTCAATTCATGCCTACAGTTCTCATGCAAAACAATACTTTGAATATTATGGTAAACTATAATGAGAAAAAGGTGAATAAAGTGCTACAGTATTATTGGCCTGCTTTCATGTAATTTCAGGGAGCTGTAGGAGACATTTCTGTAAGTCAGCATTTTCCCTAGACAGTTCCTCCAGGTTACTTTTAAATAAGAGAATAGTTAAAACTAAGATTCTTAACTCCTCCTGTTTACAATATCTCCAGGCAGCTTCAGTCTCATATTAGCTTTTGAACTTTCATAAGAACAGCAATTGTAATTGGTTTCATTTTCTTAAGTGGCCTCGTTCTCACCACAGGTCTGAATCATATTCCTATTTACTGAAAACGTTTCTTGAAACACTGCTCTGCTATCAGTTCAATCCCACCTCTTAGTCAAACAGGCTGCAGCCAACAATGTCTGAGCTCACCTACAGCAAGTTATGTTCAGCTTCCAGATGTGAAATTCCAAAACAAATGGCAGTAAATGATATAGCAGTATATTTTTGGACAAGATGAAACAAAAAAGTGAATTGCTTTCTTATACTCTATTTACCTTGATATATCAAACCCTAGGCAAACCATAGTCAAATTACCTGTATTTTAATTTTTTTTTAAACCTGCCTTACATTTATTACAGGTGAGTTCCAAGGCTGTGATAGGCAGCTCTGTGGTCTGACAGAGATGAAATGGGAATGTAAAGCAGGTGGGATGGTGCACAGCACAAATCCTGAGTCAACACTTCCACTGTCAGGAAGACAAATCTCTCACACGACTTGGAGCAATACAAAGCTGTTAAGTATGAGTCCAAACTACATATCCTATTAAATGGAAACAATTTCACCTGTACTCTATCCTGCTGCAGCCCTTTCTCTTGCTCCCGTTTTATTTTCAAGTACTGCTTTAAAATATATCAATATTTGGACCTTAATGAAGTGCTCTTCGGGCAGAGGAGATCATGACTTTCTTTTTAGGTTTCTGTGACCTCTAGGTTTGTGAGGGCTCTTGAAGGGCAATACTGGCAGCAAATCTCTGGTTAAATAGGTGAAAAAATCACCATCAAAACATGAATGTTACAGATTTGTGGTTAAAGGCCCAAAAAGATCTTGAGTCTCTTCTTCCTCTCTCCATGTTTCTTGGAAACCTCACTCCAGAGAAGCATGATTTGGCTATACTTTTCCAGCAACTTTGGTCTAATTCTTCCCCACCTTATGAATTCTTTGAATACTCGGGTCTGCTTTACTACATTTGAATTTCTTAGTTTTACTCAATATCCACATTTCGCTACCTCCCACTTCACACTAATTAGAGAATTCCCAAGCTACCTTGCTTCAAATGCAGTATTTCTATTCTTGTACATTCTGGTAATTTTGGTTTCCCTGGGGAAGTTTTGTGGCAGTTTTTCCGCAGTGACAGGACAAGGCTGAAGTGTTTTAAATGCAAGAGGGAAGATTTACATCACATGTTAGGACAAAATTCTTTCCTGTGAGGGTGGGGAGGCTCTGGCACAAGTTGTCCAGAGAAGAGCTGTGATCATCCCATTTGCTGAAACTGTTACTGATTTTGAACTATCATCTCACCTGTGGCACATTTTTAGGCAGGGGAAGCTCTCTGCCTTTGGTATTTTCTTGTTGAACCACTCCCACACTTTCCACAAACAGAAACTTGAACTTAAAACTATTTTTAAGTATGTTTTTCCAAAGACTTATCTTACAACAGAGATGCATAAGAGGATATTTTCATCCAACCACCTTGTGTCTTGTAATCCTCGGTTTAAGCATGTTTGTTTACAAGGTATTTAAGTTAAAGGAAACTTTACAGACAAAGAAGAAATTAAATGTAACTTATAGCAAGATGTCCTACTGTAGTACCTTCAGTAACAGGGCAAGATTCCAAAACACCAGCAAACAAGTTCTTTCCTTCCTTGTGAGAACATAAGAGAGCACAAACTGAATTTCAACTCAAAACACCAGCCTTCCCCAAAGACTACTGTAAAGATTTTAAACTATATCCATTTAAATAGTATGTGTGTCTCACTCATTTTTTGTTGCTAACTTAAGACACTTAAGCAGTAATCAAGCTCCAGAGTATGACTCCAAGATTTACTCACTGCCATTGTGCTCAGAAAAAAGTTAGATAGGTTTCTTGGCACCACATGATAGAGCTGTAATGTAATTCTACTGCAGCTTGGAAATGAATAGAAATAATAATAATTTTAAAAAATGTTTGGGATACATGTAACATGAAATTCCCTTGGGACACATTGCCTGAAAGTCTACCCAGTGGCCTTAATTGACTCATAGCTAAGAGTCAGGGAAACAAACCTACCCTTATTTATGGTGCAATCATTAAAAAAAACACAAACAAAAAAAACTCTCCCCCCCAAAAAAAACCAACCAACCCCACTAACAAACAAAAAACCAGCAGTTTCAGCAGAGGTAAAGAAGGCAGCATGAGCCAGAACACAGATAATAGATATCAAAGAGCTCTTAAAAGAGACAATTCTGATCCTTGATTGCCTGCAAGTCCTCTTCTCTGGAAGAGACTGCAGGATGTTAAAACCAAGGTAAGCTGGCAAATTGTATAAAAGATCAAATAGAAACAGAGCCTTTGCTGACAGGCATTTTAATCGAAGTGCTGAACAACTAAGAAATAGTGAACAAAACCATAAATTAAAATGAACAGGAGGCTTTGGTAATTTAGGGACTGGGGTAGAAATAAAACAATCCAGCAAAGCCGATATAGAAGACATTAAACCCAAGTGCAAGCCGAAACAAAACAGTTCCATACAATTAACTTTCCTACTTCACATATCCAATTATGTCTTTTAACTTAATGTAGCCCAAATCTTATTTTTGGATGTAGGCTCCATATTTCCTGGATCTACTGATAAATTTATCAGACAGGTGGAAGAACATTCTAGGTGGCTGCTTTGCAATTAAGCAAGTGGACCTTTCAACTTCCCCAGTGAAATATGGCATCTCTTTACAAGGACAGATTGACATAACCCTGTTCCTGAGGAACAACACAGCCAGGTCATCAGAAGGCAAAGGCTCTTGCAATACCCTTAAAATATATTTGACAAGGATGTGAAAATTGCATTTCTGAACCTGCCAACTATGTATAGCTATATATAAAGATGCTTCAAGAAGAACAAATTTAATCACCAGTTATTATATTTGCATGATAATAATTGCAATGGGCAGTGAATGTAGGGGCCACACTAAGTCACTGGAGTGCTTTTAGTCCACAAATTCCATTTATTCCACTCTAAAGAATGGGCATTTTCTCCCTTTACTGACAAAAACTTCAAGGAAAGTGAAATGCTTTCATCTCAATGAAAAGAAAAACAGGATGTGCCCCTATATACAGACACGTAGGACAAAACAAGGACTCAGTAAATGAACAGAGCTTGTTGTGGAACACTCAAGAAGCCAAGCCAATAATTCCCAAGGTTATCTCTGTCATGAAGACATCCTCATTTCTTTGAAACCAGCATGGGTTCCAATTGCCAGTATAATCAAGCACAATTATTGGCAAGCCTGTTCAGTGGCAGGCTTTGAAGGCAAGCTTGACAGAACAGAAGATATGAAACTAAGATTCAATTGCTTACATTCCAGTCTTTTGTGAGACTGATCTTTAAACAAGAAAAAAAAAGACTCCAGTATTTTCTACTCACTTCTCTGATATTCAACAATATTTGCAGATTTGTTTTGCAGTTCTGTGAGGTTCCTCCCTCCAGCCCCAAGGAACACAGCTATTTCAAGAGCAATGCACCAGTTTTCTTAGACACAAGAAATTCTTGTCACCTCATAGCATAAGGTGTCCTTAGAACTTGCTTGTAATCCCAGGTTTGCCCAGCCCTGCTAAATTAACATGGGTCAGCAGATGTGTGAGGCTGGACTAGAACAGATTTTCAGGTCACTTCTCTGAAGCCCTGTTTAGCAGCCCTGGGTCCTTTCACATGCCCCAGGCTGAACTTTCCCTGTTGGTGGTGCCAAGCAGCTCTGGAACATTCCTGAAGAATGTTATCTGGGAGAAACTGCCTGACTTCTGCCATGGGGACATTCACTGAAAAGTTCAGCAGTGGAGAAGCATTACTGTCATGAAATGAACACATTTTGCATTTTCCTTACCCAAGAATAAGACTCCCTATTAAATAACTTGCAGACTTGTTTGATCACAAGTCTTCTCTTGATGTGAACCAACAAACACTAAATTCAAATATTAAGGAATTAAGGGGGAAAAAAAAACAGTAAAGAAAATCACACTAGAGTAGAATATCAACATTCTTTCTCATGACTGACCTCTGAAGCATTTAAAGTTTTGTTTTCAGCTAATCCTCCTGCAGAAAACCAGATTTAAGTCTGTGAAGACGTGTCCGCACTGCTCAACTCCATGACTTAATACAAAAATCTATTTAGAGACTTTAAATATGCACAGAGGAGCAGAGATACCACAGCAGTATCATTTGGAACTGTTCAAATGCAAGAAAATAATTTGCATATTGACAGGTTACTGGATAGACCCTTTGCAGTTTCTAAAAATGCATCTTTTGGATATTATTAAGAAATCCTACATTTGCTTGCTAAGAAAAAAATAAAATCTGTAGAACCAGGGTTTAATAAGAGTTTCACCTATTTAGTGCTGCTATTCCAGAAAACAGCCCTAAAAGCTCTGAAACAGCCAAAAGATACCACTGAGCTGTTTAACCTTTATGCTTGAACAGCCCTTTGAAAGACATCTGATTGAACCAGAAGACCCTAAGTAAAAAATCCTATAATCTTCTAGTCCTGAACATGTTACTTCTTTCTGAAATCTTCCATTCTTGATCACAGTCCAAGGAAATAATTTATGTAGAGTTTGAGAGAAATACCTTCTTCCCTATGATTAAAAATAGCTGAACTTAGTTTCCATTGGGCGTGTTTTAGAAAATATCTTGCTCTTAATTATCTCTCCAGTAAAGCTTGCACAACAGCTAGGGAACAAAACAAAACTATATCTGCTTTCTGTTAAATAAGAAACAGCACTGAATTGTAGCCCACTATGATTCACAGTGCACATTTGCATCAATTTTATGAAGAACGTAAATGACAATGTAAGGGTACATAACAGTAATTCAAAAAAGGCTTAGAAAATCTTCATACTGCAACATTAGTGATATGGATTCAACTCCATAAAAACTCAAACATAAAAAATTAATTTATTTTCAGGATGAATTATTAGAGTTCTTAAATGATGAGAGTTCTGTTCTGTTTTGTTGTAGCTAACTGCTTCAGTTACTATCTAACTCCCCAGGCAAGGAAAATGGAGAAAGGTTTTTAAGTGTGACCAAATCAATAATCTTAATTCATGCCAGAATGCTGATTCATTACAAAGTCTGCCTCTTAATCTCAAAAACTGAAATATTCCCTACTGAGAATCCAAAAATGGCACAGCCACACTCACTTCTACTTCCAAAAAGATTTATAGGTTGATTAGTTTTCATCAAGTAAAGAATAATGATAAAATAATTGGAGTTACTTCTCTCTCCCTCCCCAAAATAAAAGTCCTCTCCACACTTCTCTGGTCTAAGTTCTGTGTGCTGCATCGCAAATATGCCTCAAAAATGCCTTGGGTTACAAATCAGAATACTTATTGAAATACTTAAATACATATTAAATACTTATTATTAAAATGGGCTACTTATTCAGAATACCTCCCATTCCAACTCACTGCTACTTTGGTGCAGAGGGAGGTAGCTCTAATCTCCAAAACTACTTTTCATATATACATATAACCATAACATTGTTGTTACATTTTGATTACAGTGCAATGAAAGAAACCAAACAAAAAAGATACTGGAATTAACTTCCTGTGTCGCAAGAAGGGAGGAAAAAGAAAAACCAGGAAAGAATCCTGACCACAAAAACCATGAGAGATCGTCTGCAAGAGCTCAAACTGAGGGCTAAGGAACTAGAGATGGGTGGGGAAAACAATGGAGCAACTGTACAAGAAGAGGAGCAGGAGGAGTTTGAACAGCAGGCCATTATTTATGAAAAAGAGCCCATAACTGAAAGGCACTTGCACGAGATCCAGAAGCTTCAGAACGAAATAAATAATCTGGTGGAAGAAGTCAATAAATTCAGCCAACAACAAAAAAGCCTCGTGTCTTCAATGAGAAGATTCAGCGTTCTCAAGAAGGAATCTAACATAGCGAGGGAAATCAAAATGCAAGCAGAACATGTACGCAAAGGTTTGGATGAGCTGTCGAAAGCCGTGAGGACAGCTGAGAATGAGCAGGGGCCAGCCCGAGCCACGGTGAGGATCCTGGCTGCCCAGCACGCCTTCCTGTCCCACCGCTACCTGCAGGCCATGCTCGCCTACAACGAGGCCATCACCGCCAAGCAGGACAAGTGCAGGACCTTCATCCTCCGCCAGCTGGAGGTGGCTGGGAAAGAGGTGTCTGAGGAGGAGGTCAATGACATGCTCCAGCAGGGAAAATGGGAGGTTTTCAATGAAAATCTACTCACTGAAGTCAAGATTACTAAAGCTCAGCTGTCAGAGATTGAGCAGAGACATAAAGAACTGGTCAATCTGGAGAACCAGATCAGAGATGTGAAAGAACTCTTTATCCAGATCTCACTTCTGGTGGAGGAGCAAGGGCAGATGATCAACAACATAGAAATCTACATGAACAATGCTCAAGAATATACTCAAGTATCTAAAGAAAAGTTTGGGCTTGCAGTCAGGTATAAAAGAAGAAACCCTTGCAAAGCAATTTGCTGCTGGTGTTGTCCGTGCTGCAGATGACACCAGAAATGAACTGCTTGAAATACCAATGGTTCCTCCACACCAAACTGATCTTGGAAAGCAGTCTTGGGATCCCTCAACTTCACTTTTCTTTCCATTTTCCCTTCAGCAGAGCTCTCAGGAAAAACTGCATCTGTTTTTCAAAACAGATTAAAGAATTTTATGGTTTTCACAGAAACGTGTGAACTACAGGAAAGGATCAAAGGATAAAAGTGACCTTTCTTTTGGTTCTTATAAACTTCTTCAAAGTTTAGAAGTTCTAAAGTTTAGTTTGGTTCTTCAGACTAAAACAGTGTGGCAACAAACTCCCTGTACTGTTGGGAGGCATTGAAAATATTGTTAATCTCAAAGACGGGATTCATAAAAATGTTTTACTTACTTTTCACAAAATAACAGTAAGTATTTTTAATTGCCTTGTGGTTTTTCATCATTTATATTTACTTGGTTTTTTTTCTCCCAGTAATCTAAAATAAACAAATCTCCACACATAAAGCAGACACCATTAGTAACAATCCAGAATGGGATAAACCAAACAAAAGGTCAGAAAACTTGTCAGGAATATTTCATTACTACATCTATAGGAAAAGTTCATAAACTTTTCATAAATTGACACAGAGATACTTTTATTATTCAGCTCCACTGGCAGAGCCCTACCAGGATAGGGGAATATGATCCTTAATTACACACTCACAAGGTACATTCTTAATGCTGCCTATCCTACCTGAATACAGTCATATTAGCAGTCTCACTTTTGCTAGCACAAAAATTATTGAAAAAATAGAATAAAAAAATATAACTCCATCCTTACATCCCCTACTCCTCCCCCACAATCTAGAACCAGAGAATGATTTAGGTTGGAAGGAACCTCCTGCAACCAACTCCTTTTGGAACTGAGTGAGAAGTGGCTCTCCATGCAATTTAACAGACAATAGCAATGTAACTGAGACAAAAAAGTTATTTCCAAGAAGAAATTAAAAAAAAAAATTCCACATTAAAACCAAACAGCAAACCAGAAATGTATTCCTGAACTGCTTTGTGCTGTGCAAGGATGCAATCAATACCACTTGATTTGGATGGTCAGAGAAGGCAGAACAAACTGCACTGCAATTCAGCAAGACACTAAGTGAACTGGATGTTTTTAGTTGAATGTAGTGGGGAAAAAAAAAATCTACTATCAAAGTCATTTTCACATTGTGGTATTTAGAAATAGTTGGATTCCTTCCATCCCAGATTAAAACTGCAACTGAAATGGAATGCTATCAAAATACAATCAAAGGTGTGAACCTTAAAGTAAAATATATTATTTACACAGTAGCAACAAAAAGTAAACTTCGATGATGACACCACTGAAGCTATTTCATTAAATACTCTCCCCATAACTGTATATCTATTAAAAATTCATTTATGTACCAAGTGCACAGTAGAAATTAGCCAATAAACAAGAGCTGTACTTCCAATAGTGGAATAAAATTCAAGTCTTCAAAAGTAAAGCTTTAATACTTAGGAAAAGAGCTGCCTGATTAAGTCATTTCCAGATGTAAAATTGGTTAGAAACAGGCAAAACAGATAAAACACACTGAAGGAGAACAGGGAAGTGAGAAAGACTTATGGAAAACTTTCCCTTGATCCGGGTACTATTAACTGAAAACCCTTGATCGAGGGTACACACTGAAGGAGAACAGGGAAGTGAGAAAGACTTATGGAAAACTTTCCCTTGATCCGGGGGTGCTATTAACTGAAAATAAATAGTATGAAATAATAGTATGAACTACAGTTTACACTGAATTTGATATTGAGCATTCAGAATTATTATCAGCTGAAATTTGCAATAATCACTAAAGTAACTTTCCAATGTTTTCAGTAGTTACATAAATGCGCAGCAAACCAAACAAATTAAAGCCCAGCTGCAAGTGTTCTATGAAGAAAAGTGATGCATTAACAGCTATAATCCTTTATCACCAAAATAACAGGTAGAAAGTAGCTTCCCCTAACAAAATACCTGCCCAAAAATCTCCTTGGTATAAAATATCAGTCACAGCACATGGACTTGCATTTCCTCTTGCACATGCTCCATGTCAACTTAAATAAAAAAACCCACAACCAAAACAAAGACTCCAAACAAACACAACTAATCCCAAACAAAACCAGCATTTGCCTGCATAATATGATGTCTGTGTGCTCCTTTCTGATAAAAGAAAGGACAAAAATAATCCTAAGTGAAGAAAATTTAAACTTGTATATGAGTCTTGAGTATGCTGCCAGAAGAATTTACCCATAAACATAAATAAAGTGATAACACTGAACAGTAAAAAAACCCAAATGACAAGTTTAGCATCTCTAAGTAATTTATACCAAGAGACAGTAAAAGACAATACTATCACATTTGAGGAAAATGGTCTTAAAATTATTCTGTGACACCTCCATGGGCAGCAATAAATACCAGCATGGGAGAGCAGCAATTAAATTTGTAGAAAATACCACACTGAACATCACATTTCCCATATTCTTATATTTCTGTATTTACCATCAATTTTATGTCCACATTGTGCAATTCAGCCTATTCTGCACAGATTAAAATGCACTAATTAAAACATGTAGCAAGGTATTAGGGAACTTACTGCTACATGGGTAGCAAGTATCTCTTTATTAAAAAAACCAACAAAACCAAAAAACCCACAAACAAAATCTGAACATTAAAATTAATATAACATTAAGGCTAACTTCCAGCATAAATTTGGAAATCTGACAATACAGGAGAGAGTTCTTAACTCAAGAGGGAGGCTCACACAAGAGCATAAACTAAAGAACAACTGGATCCCTCCACAGAATTGGGACACTGTAAAAGCAAATTCTGATCAAAGGCTTGAAGTTTAATCTAATAAAAAGTATTAACATCAACAAACTTAGTTTAGTCATCATTAGAGCCATTAATAAATACACTCTGCCTTCCAATTAGTTACTGATAGAAATCAACAACCAATATCAAGATCCAGGGAAGTGAGTGAGTTCTCTGCAGGTCCAGTCAGCCACACAAACTCTCATTACAGGATTAGAGCATAGAGATTTCTACCCAAAACAAAAAACAACAAAACCAAAATGCAACCCAAAAGCACCCATAAAGTTGTATTTAATTAAAAAACACAGCACAGCTTTCCACAGTCCCAGCTGCATTTTCATTTGAGTTAAACTAAGCTGGCTTTATTGCCTTGCCTGTGCCAGTAACATGCAGAGCAATGAAAATCTAATCTATTTTCAACATACACACCATTACTTTGCTGAACTACCCTCCAGTTCATCAACAGAATTAGCCAGGCTCAGCTTCAAACCAGCAGAGCATCACTATTTCTTAAAAATAAGAGGTCTCTCCTCTTACCTGTACAGATTCTTCATGATAGCACAGGGATGTTGTGCAATTTATGCATTATGGAGGTCTTATGCTCACCAGACATAAAAACATTGACTTGATAAATCATTTTACACTTTCAGAGTTTATTTTTTAATTTCAAAAGCAGATTTGTTATCAAATATTTTTGGTGTGGAATTAAAAAAATATGTTCTTTCCAATATTTTTACAAACCCTATTAAACAGGGAAAAAGTAGGTGCCCAATACAATTAAAGCAAGCCTCCTTTAATGAGATTTTTTTGATCATATATCAGCAGCACCATGCGTTAAATGAACAAGACATTTATTGCTGAGAGATCACCCTATTGCTGAGTATAATCAACCATTTGCCATTTAATTAATTGATGTAGGCATAAATAGCAACAATATTTTTGCATCATGTTGCCACACCAAATTTGAAAGCCTTTTAACCTACCATTTCAAGTAACATTAAAATTTTAGAGCTTTAAAAAATCCCACCTTGTTATTTTTCCGTGGCTAATGAAAGAAGAGAGAAATAAACATCCCTGAGAAGGATAAAATAAAACATAAAACCATAAAACTAACTGCAGTATTGGTTAGTGCTAAAATTACAGCAGTATTAGTTACAGAAATAGTTCTTTAGGTCTAAATTCAGCCAATTTCACACTATTAGGAGAACATTTATTATGCTACTTACACTAACACAGGTTTTCCTGATATCTTAGGGCTTTTTAGCACTTCTATCATGGCTTGTTTTGTTTCTTCCATTCTTTCAATGTCACTGGAATCCACCACAAATATGACACCGTAGGACTCAGCATAGTAATTCCTCCAGATATTCCGGATTCGTTTTCCGCCTCCTAAATCAAAGATGGTGACTTCAAAGCGTCCCTGTTTAAGATTAATTTTGGAAAACCCAACTGTGGGAGCCACATCTTCAGGAGACTCTGTCAAAGAAGAAAGCCTTCATTTTAAAGAGGATTTTATAGTGGGATTTGTGTAGCAAAACTCGCATTTTAAAAACATGGAGCAAAACCTCCTTGTTAAATGTTTCCGATCACATTTTTCTTACATGATTTCCCCTCTCCTCAGGGAATTTAGTCTCTCAGCTAGTTACTTTACATTAATTTAGACAGGAGCACTGGGGGAGTGGGATGGGGGGAGATAAGAGAGGGGCCCAAAAGGCAGATTTTAATATTTCACACCACAGTTCCATTGCAGTGGTGGTTACTGTACTGCATTTTCACTTCCACGGTAGTAGTTCAACTTTGAGAAGGAAAACAACCAAACCAGTTAATGCACTGTGACCTGGGAACCCTTGTGCTCTGCCAAATTTATATTTTATCCTTCATGGTTGCCAAAACAGTTTCAGAAGTTCAAACTGAGGGCTGAGATGAAATGACTGAAACCATCTTCTTCTGAGATGTAAATTACCTGAGATTCCCTTTATTCAAGGTCAGGTTTTAGCCTTTGTTTGCTTGCTTATTTTTATTTGCTGCTTTTTTCTAATTTGCCATGCAATATGCTAAAAAATGACAGATTTCTATTTAATACTTTTGTTTGCTGTCTCCCTTTCCTGAGGGCAAAGAAAGCCTGGACTTTCCTCACACCACTAAGCTGTGCCTGCAGGGCTGAGATAATTGGATCTCTGTTTTATGCAGCTGGGGAGCACAAGCCAGGAGAAACATGGAAAATTCAGCTTGTTCAGAGGGAAAAAATGAAGGCCTGGCTAAAAGCACTGAGCTCTGAAGAGCAGTGCAGAAACTGAATCCCCACCAGCCTTCTGCTCCCACCCTTAAGACAGCCAAGATGGGCATTCAGGACATTTAAGCCCTGGGGAACACTCAAAGAAATCAGAACTATCCTTTCCTTCAGTTTCCCTTTAGAAATACACATCTTTATCTCACTTTTCCCCCCCTGAAAAATAGGGACTTTTAGAAATAACTGTTACATTCAGACAGTAAAGATAGTAAAGGTGATTTTCAAATAGAATGGAAGGCTAAATAATGAAACACTTCTGTTTTTAGGGCAAAGATGGAGGAACAGGAGAGAATACTCATGGTTTTATTTGTGCCTTAGCAAGTCTGTGAACTTACATAACACATGTAAACAAACTCGAGGTGGAGTCTCCAAGTCTGCCAAAACACTACTAAGTAAACTCTTGTTCTTGCACAAGATGAAAGTTATTTAGCAAGACAATCCCTCAAGTGGAGAGAAAAAAATACAGAAATTTTGTTTTCATAACCACAAGTTTTATCTCAAATTATATCCTGCTTGCATGTGCCAGGGCAAAGTACCCTTCAAAATCAAGTGGTCTCTTAGTAGCAATTTTATCATCATTTTCTGATTATAAATCATGATAAAAAATATGTAACACTAGAACCATCCTTAATGTTATACATACCAATTTCCTTTTTTTAGACCTTATATATACATACAACAACATTGATTTTTATATAACGTTTACTGCTGTATGCACATTATTGGAGTGGTCACCTAAAAGCAACTTCGGGACATGCACACAAGGAAAAAAGAGAAAAAAAAATCAAGTCCAGTGGCTGTATTGTCCATTGTAGAGTTTTTATTAAGATGTGATATATGTGGTATTTGGATGGTACAACCACCAACATTTTCTTTCAGCAATTTGGGAGGGAGAGATACAATAAGCAATATTTTCAGATTCAAATGATTGAAAATCAGGAATAACAGTCTCAGTGTTCCATTTGGATGATAAATTAGTCACTTACCTCCTTGAATTCCTCGGACTGTAGCAGTTTTCCCAGCATTATCAAGACCCACCATTATTAGTGTCACCTTCCTCCATAAGGAGAAAAGAAAACAGAAAGATATTTAATTTTTTTTCCTCTAACTATACATAATTTAATCTATTTTTAAACATATGCACAGCAAATTTACCACCAAATAACAGAAAGAAGAGGTATCAGAATACCAAGGCACTGTGTGTCTGGTGTTTAATATGTCCAGTCATCTGGTCAGACAGAAGGGCAGAACAAGGTAGGAAATGAAAAGCCTCATATCATGGTTTCAGTTTCACAGGAGACAATGATTCTTCTTTCAACTGGTGCTTGCCTGCTGCAATTTAATTTCACAGTACTGTAAATTTTATTTGGTGTGGTCATGGTCCCTGTAACAATTTCTGTAATTGCAGTTCCATTCCCCTGTATTTTTACCATCTATCTGCCTCAAAGTTTTTCCTGTGTTAGAAAATTATTTCTGTCTCCATCAGTGTGTCTGAACACCACCACACAATGTACAACACCCGTGCAGACGGCACCAGATGCTGGAAATATGTGGGACTTGCCATGTCTTTGCTTCTAGATTGTAAATGTGCAAACCCATGGTGCTAGGAATGCACAATTTATTAGAAAACTGGTATAAAAGTTAATATTTTCCCCAGGATAGGATTTTAAAAGCCACAGGAAAACCATATTTATGTGTGTATACCTCAGTTCTTCCTCCTGTTCACAAAGACTCAGTGATCAAATCAATTTGCTCAATGTTATGCCCCCTTAAGTGAAGGAATTCTAAAAAAGTTGTTATTTGCAGACTATAAACTGTAATAGTATCAAACGTTAAGTATAGTTTATACAAGTTCTTTCAGAAGAGCAAGAAACCTCTGAGAAAAGAACCCAAAAATTAAATAATACTTTAGAATCTCAAAATGCACAAGCTGTAAGAGTAAGGCAAAAACCAAACAAAGTTTAGCCTGACCAGCTTAGAAGCTTTCTGTGACGGAGTGACCAGAGCAGTGGACAAAGGAAGGATTACAGATGTAATTTATCATGATTTCTGCCCAAATCGGAGGGATGGGTTCAGTGGATGGAGTAGCAGGTAGAAAAGGAACTGCTGGGACAGTCACAGCCTGAGGGTAGTGGTGACAGCTCGGGGTCCCAGTGGACACCAGTGATCAGCAGTGCCCCTCAGAGGTCCATACTGGGACCAGTGCTACTGAATATCTCCATTAAAGAGACAGAAAAGGTGCTGAGGGCATCCTCAGCAAGAGTGCAGGTGAGTGGTGAGGCTGACACACCTGAAGGATGGGAAGCCATCCACAGGGAACTGCACAAGCTCATGGGAATATCAGGAGGTTTAGTAAGACCAAGTACAAGGTGCTGGGTCAGGGTATCAGCACATGAAGAAGAGCCCTGGGGAGAAAGAACTTGGGGCTGCTGGTGGGTGAGAAGCTGGACATGATCAAATATGAAACAATGAATAAAACACAGTTTGGGAAGGTGAGAAATGTAAAATACTTTCCCACGTTTACCTGACAGGTTCCCTCCACCGTTTCAGCCAGTTGCAGCAATTGGCCATTAGATTGAACATCCCTCTTCACCAGCCATCCAGGGCCACCAAAGCTGCAGGAATGATGTGGGCAGGCCAGAGCAACTCAATTGGCAGAGGGACTTCAGAGCCAAGGACTTTCTTGTCACTCCTAGAAAGAAAAAAAGGGACAAGAAAAATAGTTAGGCACTCTGTAGAAAGAAGGCAGCAGCCTCCTGTTCAGTGTGTTATGTTCAGTCTTGTTATCTTTTCCATCCTCACACACTTCATCCACCCCCCTCTTACAGATCTGGGCAGCCACCACACACTACTTATCCCAAATAATAATGCCAGGCCACAGCACAGAAGGAAACCTGTTAGAAGCAAGTTAGAGGAGCGAGACACATCCAGCTACAAAATTTCAGTGCTTGCCTCACCAACAGGTGCCACAGCCCTGCTGAGTGATGGAGAATAAGGAGCAATTTCAAGCATGAGTAAGACTTACAAGAACATATCAGAATCAGGCATTAAAAGCAAACAAAGAACATCCCTACCTGCTAAGGGTATTCATTTAACTGCCAATTTCTTTAGCACAAAAAGATTCCAGAGCAAGGAAGCTCTCCAGTGAGTATTTTGAGGAACTGGCAATGCTATCTAGTAAATGTCACTAATTTAAATACAGGTACCAAGTATTTCCATCATTCCACAATCCCACTTTCCACTCTTCAAGCAGAAAGAAAAAGATATTCTTCTTTTTTGAGAATTACCACAGCAGGTCTCCCAAAGCTCATATCTCAAAATTCCCTTCACATTTTTAATTATAACTACCCTCAAACGAGGGTAATTTGAAATTATGGCAAAAAGTGAATAAGATTATAGCAATCCTGATCAACTGTGATGGCTTAGATAATTTATAGAGGTAGGAACTGAACTCCTCCTGATCTTATGAAGTTCATTTTCAAGGATGCCTTTGCATGGATCTGCTGTCATTCAGTGTTAGCAACAGGTCAGGTTTCATCCAAAGCAGAGACAACAGATACTCTTTAAACATTTATATTCATTATCCTCAAGAACCTGAGAACAGCTTCTCTGTGGGAGAGCTGAGTGTATGAAGAGCAGAGAAGTGCTTAAAAAGAGCAAGATGATTACAACTGTTACAAGTATTAAAATCAAGCTCTGAAGAATACAAAATCATTAAAAAAAAAAGTCCACATGCAGTGGGCTGTGGTGCCTCAACCCACCAGCAAGTCTGAACAAAGCTCACTTTGAGACCAGAGCCACACAAATTTCTAGAAAGCCAAATGTAACAGCTCAGTGAACAAAATGTGCCATTGTAATTGTGCCAAGTGACATAAATGTAACATTTTCAGTGCCTGAGCACCTCCACAGAACAATTCCCATCTCTTCTTATACAATCTTTGCAAACTGTCACAAAATTGCTCTCGAGCCTATTTATGGCCCAGAGCACTCAGATGGGATTCATGAGATGAAGAGAACTTGTTCCAGAGTGAAAAGCAGAGAGCAACAAGAATCTTGTTTAAAAATACAAAACCATAAAAGGGGGTGGGCAGGAATTGACAAATCAGATAAAAATTTGCAGAAACAAACCACTCCAGGAGGAAAGGACATTCAACACTGCTGAAAATGCTATGGTAGGGAGGTAAACCCCATTCTGCTAAGCCAGTTTGGAGAGACTGGATCTCTGAAACATGTACAGAACAAACGTCAGGTATTTTATAGGGTGCACTAAGAACATCTCAAACCTGTTCCAGATATTACATCTGTCAGCTTGTTGAGGTCAAACAAAACCAACAAGCCCAGAAACCTGTCAAACTTAGCAGTGAAGCCTGCACACCATTCAGTAGACTACATTTAGTACACCACCTTCACTGGAGACTTTCACAGTAGAGAATTTATTTCAGCCACATCAAGCTTGGAAACACAGCTGAACAAATCATTTAGAGCTGACCCTCCTCACACTGTTTAATTATTTAACTTCCTTCCTTGTCTGAATGTCAATTATATCGGGGCACTTCACTGTGTTATATTTTGAACAGCAAACCGAGTGACTGAGCAGCACATTCAGCAAAAATCTGAACACCATCCTCTCTGCCGAAATTGTATTTGAGACGTAAATAAGGTGTAACAACTGCGATGTCCTGAAAGCCCGAAGCACTCAAATCTTTCTGCAGAACAGCTTTAGGACCACCATACTTCCTGAAAAGAGCTGCTAATAGAAGCCCAGCAGTTCAAGAGAGCATCTGCACTTTCCGGCCACGTTCCCAACCTTCCTCTCCCGTTTCCAAGAGAGCAGCAACTCAAAAACCCCGCACGTGTCACTGAATCCTCTCTCCCACTTTGGAAGCACTTTTTTTTTTTATAGTTTATAAACTCAGCGTTCTCTATAAAATCCGGTTTCTGACGAAAAGGAGAGAGCCAGCCCTCAGGCTGCCGGCTCCCCCGGGCCCTTCCCCGCCCCGCTCACCGCTGCCTCCGCCGAGGCCCCGCAGCTCAGCGGCTGCGCGCGGCCCGGAGCGCTCCGCCACGGCGGCGGCAGCCGGCGGACACCGGCGGCGGCTCCGGGCTGCGCTGGGCCGCTCCCGGTGAGGAGGGGCCGCTCCCGGTGAGGAGGGGCCGCTCGCGGTGAGGAGGGGCCGCTCCCGGTCAGGCGGGGCCGCTCCCGGTCAGGCGCTGCTCCGCGGCCGCGGGGACGCCGCTCCGAGCCCGTCACCCCGGGAGACGGCCGACGGCGGCCGGCAGGGGACACACTTAGTGGCGCGCCCGCACACGCCAGGAGGCAGGACCGCGGCCGGCCAATAGGATGGAGCGGATCGCCCGGTGCCGGCGGAGGATCAGCCAATCAGCGGCGAGGATCCGCGTCCCCGGCCCCCCGGGAGCGAACGCCGGGAGCGGCGCGACCCCGCAGCCGTGGGGGCGTGGGGGGCAATGCCCGTCCTGCCCCGCTCCGCTCCGCTCCCTCCGGCGCGGGGCCCCCGGCAGCGATGAGGCCGCGGTGCCTCCCGCTGCTGGCGCTGGCCATCGCCCTGGCCCAGGCGGCGACCTGTGAGTGAGGCGGCACGGCACGGGGCGGGGGCGCGGGGCCGGGGTCGGTTCTCCCGGGGCTTCGGTGGCGGTTCCTGCGGGGGGAGCTGGGCTCGGGGAAGTGTCCGCACAGGGAGCTTGGTTTCCCTGCGGGAATAGCCCTCGGGAAAGCGGGTTTGTTGTGCAGTCCGGCAAGCGGCACTCAGTTTGGAAGTTCAGCCCTCTCAGGCTAAGTAAGAGCTACTTGCTCTCACACACAAATAAAAAAAAAATAAAGTACTCCGCCTTTGACACGAAAGTCTTTGAGCTTAATAGTGGAAGAAGACAGTGTGGCTGAAACAGGCAGAATTGCAGCTCAAAGTATTCCTGTTTCTGACCCGTTTTACTAATGATTAAACTGGCAGAACAGAAAGCGAATGTTTGCTATTCTGCAGGGTGCTGGGGTGTCTGACTTGGGAAGGCAGCGGTATCAAAAGATGAAAGTTCATTTTGTAACGTTTTTTAACTGCTCCCAAAAACAAACCTTGTAATAAATATAAATATTTCATAATGATCTTTTCTCCTGTTTTCATCACGTTTTTGGTTCCATTTATCTTCTCCACTGCATACCTTGTCATTTTTCTTAACAGCAGGAAATGAGCTGTCCTGCTCATCCAAAATTTCTGTGCTACATATTTCCAGTTCCTTATCCCTGGCTGTGAACAATGCCAGGGATTTCTGGAATGGCAGGGGAGGAGAGGGGGAAGGAGAGGAAACAGCTTTAAAATGCAGCTCATATCATTCAGTAATCCCAAAGTTGTCTCTGCAAGCCTCAGTGCAGGTGGATTTGGTCAAATATCAGGCAAGGGACACATTTTGGAGAAGGTGCAGGTAAATATTAGCAGCCAGCTTCATTTTGTTGGCTGCATAATGTCACTGAGGAGCTTTTCAGGGTACTCTTGTCACTGGAGTTACAGAGCTGTGCAAACAAAGTTATGCCACTTCCTACAGTGGTGTCACTCTTTATTTAGTTTTATTCAAGTGCTTTCCTTGGCTGAGGTTTTAGGTAAGCAGCTCTGTGTTATGTTTTAGTGGCCCACTTTAAGCAGGTTTATGGCTGCATCTGCATGACAGAGCAGCTGTAAGAAACCACTGAATCTCATCCTCTCCCATAAGTTTTTTTTTTTCTTCTTTTTGAGTAGCATCACCTTTATATGCTTGATAAGCATTCACTACACAGTGGCTGTACCCCACTGCTGGAAATTGTGAGGCTCTGGAGTTGCACAAGGCTTCAGTGACCACCCCATGAAGCACCCCGAGTGCATTAAGGGTTAACTTGGTTTGGCAGGGTCAGAAATGGGCTGGAGTTTCCTGTAATCAGACTGGCAGCAGCAGCAGTAGTCAGGAATTTTTGTTTTTAATAAAGGTCCTATCATAATCTTTGTAATTAAAACACAGATGAATAAATACATTGCTAATTCTGTGCATGGGGATTGAAATATTTGCACTAAAGAAACATGGAATTTGCTCAGAGTTATGTGTTTTATTTAAAGTCAGAAGTTACAGGAAATCAGCTTGGGAGAAGGATAAACTGCTCTGATGTAGGGAAAAAGACTTATTCCCATTGCCCCACTGTATTGAAGACATGAAGTAGAAAGTGTTACATCTGTTTGTACACAACTGAAAATTTCTTGTCTTTTATTTACTGTAAAATCATGTGAAAATGACAATGATGTAGCTAAAGGTCAACATCTTCTTGGGGGTAGAGATCTCCCATGGAAATAAACCCAGCAGCTAGAATGCACAATTTTCTGTTGTCACTCCTTTTGCCTCAGGACAGGAGGTCTTTCTACATCTTTCGTCTTTGGGAGGGTAGAGATCTCCCATGGAAATAAACCCAGCAGCTAGAATACACAATTTTCCTATTTCTGTTATCACTCCTATTGCCTCAGGATAGATGGTCTTTCTACATCTTTCTCATTAATGAGAAATAAAGCATTTAGTCTAATTAATTGAACTTCTTTCCTTTCTAAGCAACTTGCTTGTTTATCTCTGAGTTAGAGCTGTGCTGTTAAACCTTGGAGGTGAGCTGTACATCCACCTTATGCTCAGGAAATCTTATTTACTGCCTTACCAGGATGATTAGTTTTACCAGAATGAAAGCAAATAGATTAGTTTGTAGTTACAAGCTCAGCCCATGTCAGATTCACTCAGGAGGCTGTAACACACAAAGGTTTCTTCAGGTCATTGCCCAACGCTGCAGCACTTCAGAATGTTCTCTGCCACTTAGCAGAGACCTTTAATGTGTTTAGGATGTTGTGGTTTTAGTTAAATGTTAAATCTATCTCCTTCTAAGCCCTGGGCCTCATTATCTGCTCTTTCTAGACAGCTTCTTTATTTTTTTTTCCTGTTAGTGCAGAGAAACTGGGAGCTCTTCTCTGGCACTTGGCTACTGGTGTGGCTCGTGAAGGTGCTCTGGCTTTGAGGAATTGTCACAGGCAGTACTGGATGGACTTTGTGTGCTTGAATGGCTCTTTTCTGTGGAGCTGGGATGAATTTGTGTGGCCACCAGGCCTGATGTGCACTGCAGGTGTCACAGCCCTCACACAGCTGGGCACTCTGAAAGGTTAAGTTGTGCAGAGGCTGAGGAAAGCAAAGTGTGGTGCACTCCAGTTAACATCTGTCATCTGCACTCTTTAACCCAGTCAGCTGGACTTCTTCCAGCTGTGCTCATCCATTTTTCTCTTGATCACAAGCTATATCCAAAAATTAAACCAGGCAGTCTAATTTAGAGGCTGTTCCTGGAGTGTTGTGTGCTCTGCAGAGAGCATTGAAGCAGACATCTTTCATTTTTAGTGTCATTTCTCAGTGTTCACCACTTGTTAAAAGTCTCTAAAATGACAATAACCAGATACATGAAAATTAAGTAATGACTCATGCTGGGTCTGAATCATAAAAGCTGGCTAGGATTGTTTTACCTTGCAAAATGTGGATGTATTTATAGGTTGTCCGCCTTGATATTCCCAGGATAACATTCTCACCTTTGTCTTGTTCTTCACTGTTCTGAAAAATAAAATTACACTTGTATTAATTACATATAACAGGCAGCCTGACTTTGTAAGACATAATTTTGCTCTCACATAAATTTAATAGGGTCAGAATATTTACTTGCAGATCACTGAAACCGGTAATAAAATCAGCATTTTTTTTTATCTACTTGTTGCTTACATATCTGGCTTTATAATAACCATAACAAATAAATCTTGTCCTGAGCATGACTTGTAAATTATGCTTCTTGCATGGATGCTATTAAGGATAAATTGCACAGATTCAGGATTTTTTGATCAGAAACAGCTCCCACATACAGAATCCTAGAATTTCTTGCTTGCATTTTTCAAAACAATAGCAAACATCAACTCCTGACGAAGCATTTAATTCAGAATTTTGTGTTAAATTCTCATTTTTGCCCAGTGTTCACAGCATTTTTCAGCTGTTGCAAAAAGAGATCAATAATAACAGAGTTGCTTTGTTTCTCCCCAGTTTTATCCCAGCAGTATGCCTCTCAGTTCCTGCAGAGGAAACGCCGAGCAAACTCTTTCATGGAAGAAAGTAAGAAGGGAAATCTAGAAAGAGAATGCATTGAAGAATTATGCAATAGGGAAGAAGCCAGGGAAATCTTTGAAAATAATCCTGAAACTGTAAGTATTTATGAGCATCCATGACATAGATAGCAATTCTTTGTAGAGGGAAAGACAACCTCGTGGAATTCACAGCTCCCAGTAACAACACTGGGAAAGATCCCCCCCATTTAAAGAAACAATTTTCAAAGTAATTTCGACATCCAATTCATTGGCATTGCCCTCATTTTGCAAGTGTCCAACTCAGTGCAGTATTTTAATTTCACTGAGTCTTATGTGTACTAAATAATCTGCTTTAGCCCAAACTACATTAATGTAGAAAACCAGGCCTGTATTCTGTGACTCAAACTTTTTCTTCTTTTGTAGTTATAATACCAATATACTTCAGAATATATTCGATGATGTATTTTGCTGTCATTATCTACCTGTCATTTTTCTTAGCCTTTATTTTTCTTTTTTTTCTGCAGGAATATTTTTATCCCAAATATTTAAGTAAGTACAAAAAAAATCCCTAAACAATTGTAGTGTATGATTCAGTGATGCTCTCATTTGGGTAATACTGGTTTAGTTTTTCTGCCCCTAGCACTGGGATGATTTCCATGCTGATTATAGTGCAGAGAATGTCCTGTGTGCTGAGATCCTCACAGAGGCACTCTGAAGGTTGGGCTGTCATCAGCTGTCCTTAACATGCCCAGACCAGTTTTGCAATTCAGGCTGTGAGAACAGGCTTTTTGAAGATGCTGTGCAGCAAGTGGTGTAATTTCAGTGTAAATGAGTTGTTTGGACCTTGGGCTGATTGTGTGGCTTTGCATTTGCAGGCTGCCTGGCCTCCCATCGAGCAGGGGTGTTCAGGGTGGCTGCAGTCACTCCAGACTCTCCAGCTGACCTGAGGGCTTGTGTCAAGGGTAAGTGCTGATGTTGGAACACACGGTGGCTAAAAAGCAGTTCAGGGACACAAAAAGAG